TAATTAAGAACAAACTTGAAAAGATTTACTGTATATATAGTGAAGGTTACACGTTAAGCTACAGTTTTAAAATTAAATAGGAATATATGGAGTCTCAGGAAATAATGTACAGCAACATCCATTTAAAAAAAAAGGTTCTATAGAAAAGTAGTGCTAAAGAAAGATAAAGATTTTAGATAGAAGATTGTGTTGCAGGAAAAATAAAAAATGCCCCTTGATACAGAACTATACTACAATACATAAACATATACACAAATACATATGAACTAATTCACCTAAAGTGCAGAAAAAAATAGGTTATTTTTTAAAAGCTTTAACTAAGCAGAAATACATTTACTATATTACAAATACAGAATTTTAAATTAGCATGCAAAATTATATATTTTTCATCATTTTGTTGACAAAAATCTTTTTGCTTATCAAAAAAAAAAATATATGTTCAATCAGAATAATATAATGCAATAAAACTAAATATTGCTTTGTTGTTGAAATTACGAAAACAATTTTGTAACTATAAAAATAGTCGTGCAGTATACTAGATTGCACATCAGAATTCATTATTTTCTACAATATTTTCTACAATCTATATTATTAACATTCAAAAAGAAAATATTATAGATAATTTTTTATGAGTGTGCTTTCTAAAATCACAAAATATATTGCTACTTGAGCTTACCTTAAAAAATTGTCATTTTCTTCATTCATTTTTTCTGCATCTCTAGCTTTATATTTTATTAATCGTTCAATCAACTGCCGATTTTCTTCCTACAAATTTATAAATATTATAAAAATATTAAATAAATAAATAAGTAATAAAATAAGTAATACGTAATACAATAAATTAATGTCTAGGAATAACTTATCCAACTTTTTTTAGTAATAAAGAATAAAAAAAATAATTTTTATATAACATACCTGTGTTTTTCTAAGTTTTTCTTCTAAAGATGCAAAAGCAAGTTGCAAGGCTTGGTGTTCATCTTTGAGCATTTGATTAATACCTTCTAAATCTTTCTCTCTACCAAGACATTTAGTTATTTCTAAACGTAAATTAGTATTAGCTTCTAAACTTTCTGCAAGACTGAAAAAACAACAAGTCATTTAATAAATCTTATACATATGTGAAAGATTTATTATTTTATATATTCAATCTATGATACATATGAGATATATTTTAGGTATAAGTGGGATGAAATGCCAGATGAAGTCAGAAGGAATAATGTTTGGGGAAATCGGAAAGTTCGATTTCTTTAAGTGTCCTACTTTCGATTTAAGTACACGTCTGTATACGTCGGTGTCCGTCGGTCGAATCCCCCGTTATTCCGTTTTAGCTCTCTTCCCTATACTTTTCTCCTTCGAAATTATTCTTAAATAACAAACATCTTAGTTCTTAAAAACACAGTTTGGACAGAGAACCTACTTGCTATTATTATTTATCTTTTGTCTATTGTCTCGATCGTTAAACATTTCAAATTATGTTTTTCAACAAGAAGGAATTCGATATTACAAGAACTTGAAAATAACAATCATGAAATGTGTCTAGTTCCAAACAAATACGAAAAGAAATTATTACAAGAGAATATTATAGAAAAATGAGTCTATTTTGTTGGGTTGATATCGGATATGAATAGATACAACACATATCGTATTCACGTGTATTTAGTCTGATTCTCTAAGAATAGATTATTCGGTAAAATTCAAAAATTGCTGTATGAAAAAATGTAACCGTGCGAATTGTGACGATATAATCGCCACAATATTATACGAAAACATAATTATATATTACCTAGCTTCCTTTGCTTGAAATTCTTTCGTCATTTCTTGTAATTTGTTATTAAGATCTACTATTTGTTGTGTATGCTCTCCTTTTCTTTTATGCAGCATCGCCAATTCTTCTGCTTGTTTTAAAAGCCTAGCTTCAAGATCGGGATTTCCACCCATGCCAATGTTACCGTTGGCCGCTTCGCGCCGAAGAGTCTCATTTGCAATAGTTAATTGCATATTTGTATTCCGTAATGTATTTGCATTTTCAAATAGCCTATTATCTGTAAAATACAAGTTACGTTAATTCACATAAAACTCTTTAATAAAGCTAGTAAACTAACAAATTATATACTTTTATGAAACATGAAGCACATAAAAAGGCAAACAAAGAAATAAGAGATATTATAAACAGATAGCAACACAACAAATAAATAGAACTAATCAAACAAAACATATGGTATACCATAATTATGTAGAAATAGTTCTGTACTCAAAATAATATTGTGCCTATTGTATATAAATACACATGTCCCATCAATTCGACAACAAAATCGCGAGGGACTTACGTAAACTGATGAGATCTGCAAAGCAACTGGTCTGCGATCTATTCCTCTCACGTAATTGCGAAATTAAATCTTTCCGCCAGTTGACATCTTCCCGAGCAACGCCGTGAGACATGCCAGCTGTATTCGAGGTCATTTCTTTCAGCTGACCTACGTACACCGTTTAAAATAAATCAGATGCCAGCAATTTAACCTTAATCAGAGTCGTTTCGACGAAGAAGTCACGAATAGTGCCTTTCGATAGTCTGTCACTCCATGAGTTTTTCCGCATGTGAAATGGATAGCTTTGTCCGATGAAATTACGTTTGGTCATCGGTCAGTGTACAATATCCGAATTGTTCACGATGATCGCGCAACATCGTCGCAACATCAACATAAAATATTTGTAATTATGAAAACAGCTACTCTAACCTAGACGTGCCAAACACTACGCTGCCACTTTGAAATTGTTTGCTATCGCTATGCGCATCGATACTGCAGTACCGAGTCATAATCGATATTGCGATATATCGATACAATGAAAAATCGAAAACGTTTTCGATTATAAAGTAAGTTTAAAGCTTTGTGTCCATGATATTATTAATTGATCCGAGATTTCGGACAAAATTGATTAATCGCAATGATTATTTCAATCAATTTATCAATACGATTTCTTCTCCGTACGATTTCAGATCGATTTCATGAACATAAGACTTAAAAGTTGAGCTTCCATTTGTGATTATTAATTTAACCGCCCGATTAACTGTATTTTGATTAAATTTAATCAATCAATTAAATTAAATTAATTGGAAATTGGTCCTAAATCATAGATATAGGAATATATTCTTATGCCTTATATAATAATTTTCAATATTATTTGCCAACCGTCTGAAGATATCTGTAATTTTTACTATCTAATGTCATTAATAAAATATTAGTCTAAAATATTAGTCTGATAAAGATGGCTGAAAAAGAGACATAAATTTTTCTTCTTAATTTTTATGCAGATTAGTATGTAACATGTAACTTGTTCTTTGCAAATAGAAAGTAAAGTTGACTGCAATTGATGAAGAAGATTCCATTCCTCCTACCTCACTCAAAGTATATAAAAAAATTTATTTACTAATATTTATTTAAAATTTATTTATTAATAATATCAGTAATGGAAATTTGTAGATTAAGAAAAATAAATTTATAAAAAAATTATTAACACAAAGCTATATTATTTATTACAATTTACTGTTTGAAAAAAATATTTAAAAAATAACATGTCAAATATCATCGTAATAATAATTTGTTAATTAAATTAAATAATAACTGAATTAGTTCTTTCTCAAAATTTTATATAACGTAAGTAGCGTATTGAAAAAATTTTTAGTTGTAATCTCAGTAAACAAAAATGGATTAAAATGAATTAAAATTTTCAGAAATATACATTCGTCAACGTTGAAATAAATCAATTTCAATGCTCAGTGCCTTTGTATCCGTTTATATGTATAATAATATTTTTTCGCACGCACACGCGCGCGCACGCACACACACACACACACACACACACACACACACACACACACACACACACGGACAAATTTTTTTGTATTTAATTGGATCAAATTGGATTGAATTTGGATTACATTGAATTGAAAAACTGCATTTTCTATCCAAAATTTTGAATTGAGCAATAACCATGCTTTACTTTTTAAAACTGAATTTATTTTTTAATTAAAAGGCATAAAAATGTATTTCATTCAATTCCTATAAATGAATACAAAAGTAATGAGCATTGAAATGGATTCATTTCAATGTTCACGAATGGGTACTTTTGAAAATTTTAATCCATTTTTTTGTTTACTGGAATTCTAAAAAAAACTATATTAAAGAATCATATAAGAAAAGATGTTTTAGTGACAATATAGTTAGAATATTATATGACAAAACTTTTCTATAATAAACTTTTCTAATATAAATAAGCATATATTCATTTCCACGTCGTAATTTGAATTTATGACATTTAAGATATACTAGAAAATTTACGCAAGTTATATAATGAAGAATCAAAACAAGAAAAGTAAAAAATGTTACGCTAATCAACCGAGTATCAATATGTTAAATAAAGCTTCAAGTACACAGAGGTAATTTAATATTAAATTATATTTTGTTATAATTTAATATTAAATTATATTTTGTCATTATATTAACTTTTATAAAAAGGTAATTCTATGCATAACATTATAAATGACTGCATTATACACACACACACACACACACACACACACACACACACACAC